GTCCTGGGCTCCCTGGGGACAACCCCCTCTACACTGTCCCTGGCCTGCTGCCCTCTTAGCTGGAACACCACCCTCCTTAGCTCTTCCTCACCTCCAGCACCTCCGGTGTCCGTGGGACTGGGCTCTCACCCACTGTTGAGGCCGGACGCCCAAGCTCCTGATTCTTACCAGTAGTGGTTTCCTGGGGCTGCCGTAACAGAGGACCACCAACCACATGGCTTAAAGCAATGGACATTCATTCTGTGACGGTTCTGGAGGCCAGGCGTCCAAATTCAACAGGGCGGCACTCCCTCCATAGTCTCCCCGGGAGGGTCCTTTTAGTCTCTCCGGTTTCTGGTGGCTCCAGGTGTTCCTTGGCGTGTGACGTCGTCACTCCCACTCTGCCTTCATCTTCAAGTGGCATCTCCCTCCGACTGTGTCTCTTTTCTACTAATAAGGAAACCAGTCGTATAGGATCGGGACCCCTACTCCAGCATGACCTCATGTTAACCTATATATCTGCAGAGACCCTATTTCCAAATATGGTCACATTCTCAGGTACTGGCACTTAGAATTTAGATCTGTCTTTTTGGGGACACAATTCAACCCCTGACACTGACCTTCGCTTCCTCCCTTCCCTGTGCACACACTGACTCGGGGGCCCGCGGGTGACAGCAGGTGCGTGCCTGACACGGACGCCAAGCAGCTGAGTTCCGTGTGGTCCTGGATGTCAGACTGTGCTTTCTCCTTTTCTGTTCCCACTGAAAGAATTTCCCCCTTCCTCATCTACTTGTGTCCGTGATTTCTTTCCAATCTCCCCGTCCCGTTTGCCCTGCCCCCCTCCTCAGCCTTTAGCATCACGATCACCACCTGCCTGATCTGCTCTCCAGACTTCACAGAGCTGAGATTGGTCTTTAGAGGTGCTCATTCCTGTGGTCTTATCTTCACTCTGCCCTTCTGTTGGGGGATTAAATGAACCCCAGAGTGGTTCTCTCCGTCGCTTCCCATTCCATAACTGATCCGGGCACTCACTTTCTCATCACCAGGTCTGTGGAACTCAGCCTTAAGGTCACACCTTTCAAACGTGCACTAATGTGACCTTGACCCTCTTCTTCCTGATTATGTCCTATTGCTAGTGCGTTTACAGCTAGTGGAAGACTCTTGCTTTGGGAAGGGGGGGGGGCGTGGAAACCACAACAAAAGCCCTTCTACATCTTGCCTGTTGTCGTTGTTAGGTGCTGTCGAGTTGGTTCTGACTCATAACGATCCCCATGTACAACAGAAGGAAACACTGCCCGGTCCTGTGCCATCCTCACAATCGTTATGCTTGAGCCCATTATTGCAGCCACTGTGTGATCCATCTCATTGAGGGTCTTCCTCTCTTTTGATGACCCTCTACTGTACCAAGTATGATATCCTTCTCCAGGGACTGATCCCTCCTGACAACATGTCCAAAGTATGTGAGACAAAGTCTTGCCATCCTCACTTCCAAGGAGCGTTCTGGCTGTACTTCTTCTGCGATAGATTTGTTCATTCTTCTGGCAGTCCATGGTATATTCAATATTCTTCGCCAACACCATAATTCAAAGACATCAATTCTTCTTTGGTCTTCTTTATTCATTATCCAGCTTTTGCACGCATATGAGGCGATTGAAAACATCATGGCTTGGGTCAGGTGCACCTTAGTCCTCAAGGTGACATTTTTGCTTTTTATCACTTCAAAGAGGTCTTTTGCAGCAGATTCGCCCAGTGCAATGTATCTTTTGATGTCTCAACTGCTGTTTCCATCAGTGTTGATTGTGGATCTAAGTAAAATGAAATCCTTGACAACTTCAATCTTTTCTCTGTTTATCATGATGTTGCTTATCGGTCCAGTCGTGAGGATTTTTGTTTTCTTTATCTTGTGTACTACTTAAAAAGTCCTAAACAGAGCAACAGAAACACAGCTTCCACCCTCTCCGCTGTCTGTGGATTTCCATCCCAGTTCCACAGTGTCATGTCACTGTTACGCCTGCTGCATCCGTTTGCCCACCAAACCCCTGCAGCCCTGTGTTCTCCATGACGATGTCTTCCTGGTGCTGTTCGTGCTCATCTGGGCACTTTCTTTGCAAACACCATGTGCCACCAGCTTTCTGAGGTGGGATTTCTGCTGCAGCCCCCTCTACGCTTCTGCCTGCTCCCCTCAGCCTGGGATGGGAGACTCTGGCTCTTTGAAGTCCTTGGTTTTATTCTTTCCCTTTAGAAGGACTCTGTCCTTCCTGCAGTTATATAAACAGGACCAAACAGCCTACACCTGCTGCACCTTCCTCAGTCTCCCGGGTCCTGTCTGCTGTGCACACGCAGCCCTGAGTTCTTCCTGGAGTTCTTCTTAGCAGAACACCTCGGTGCCTTCTGTGTGTGTGTGTGTGTGTGTGTGTGTTTTGGCCTCAGTTAAAGTGTCTTGAGGACAGCAGCAAATGGACAGCTAGTAAGTGTTGAGAGACTTACCCGGCCCTGGTGTTACTGCACGTCGCCGTAAACACAGATTCCAGCAGCTCAGCTCTTTCGTCTGCACAGCCCATTGGCTCAGAAGGCTGAGTTATGGCAAGTCTGCATTTTCAGGGAGAAGGGGCTCCCTGGTTGACAAGAGCACGCACATCGGTGAGTTCAGGCTGCCTGGACTGGAATGTGCATCCTCATGCAGCCCCTCCATGGCCAGCTGGCAGTCCATGGCCGCTCCTGTGGGTCTGCAGACTCTGGGGCATGGGATGGTGGACGTGGCTCCAGCACTGCCCCCCTAGCTCCCCACTCCCCAGTGAGCCCGAGAAGTGCCTCCACAACTAGCATTGGGTTACCTCAGAGTGGAGTGCAGCAAAGCCCTATAAAGGCCCCTCGCCTTCGGCGGACGCAGGCTCGGAGTGGCCGTGCCTGGCTGCATCTGTCCTGAGCCTGCGTGTTAGGTCTTCTGCACACAGTGATGCTGTCATCCTTTCTTCAGCCCGACGCCCAACGGTAGCCATCCTCCTGCCCAAATGCTGGCCCCTTGCTCAGTAGGCCCCACAGGTGTCACGCGTGCCCCTCCCGGGAAGCCGTTCCCTGCTGCCTCCTCCTCCCCCCAAAAAACAAAAGCAAACCCGCCATGGAGTCGATTCAGACTCATAGTGACCCTGTAGGACAGAGGGGAACTGCCCCATAGGGGTTCCAAGGCTGTATGTCTTTACAGAAGCAGACAGCCACACATGTCTCCCACAAAGCGGCTGGTGGGTTTGAACCACTGACCTGTTGGTTGCTTAGCAGCTGAACACTTTAACCACTGTACCACCAGGGCTCCTATCCCACTACCACCCCTAGAACTGAATAATATGCCCTTTTGTCCCTGCTTCCTTGTAACATGTGGACACCTCCATAATGATTGTTATGACCTTGGATTTTAACTTTCTGCTTAGGGCCTTCTAGTGACTTCTGGTATGTTGATGTTGTTGCTATCCAGCTGGCCCCTGACTCATGGCGATCCTGTGAACAGTGGAACAATCTTGCACCATCCCCGTGATCGGTTGCAGATTGGACCATTGTGATCCATAGAGTGTTCATTGGCTGATTTTCTGAAGTAGATCGCCAGGCCTTTCTTGCTAATCCATTTTAGTCTGGAAGCTCTTCTGAAACGTGTTCAGCATCACAGCAACACGCACGCCTTCGCTGACAGATGGGTGGTGGCTATGCATGAGGTGCACTGGCCGGGAATGGAACCCTTGTCTCCACATGGAAGATGACGTTTCTACCACTGAAGCCCCGCTGTCCCCTTCTAGTGTAGAACCTCCCAGACAGCAGCTGATCAGTAACGCCTGCTGCGTGGATGAAGATCCCGAAGCGCAAACATCCAGGCACTACGTGACCAGACCCCAGATGTTCTGGAACATTTGCGGTCACACAGTACATTCAATTCTGGGTCCTTTCAGCCTCAGCTTGTACTTTCATCCCAGGTAGTC